TGGACAGTTAAAATCACTTTTCTAACACAAGTTCCAACACAAGAAGTTTAAATGTATAAACAATAACAAAGAACAAATATCACAACAGAGCAGGTCCTCTGAAGCAACAGCACATTAAATATACAGGAATTATGTTCCCCCTCCCAAACCTGAAAGCTGGATACACCGGCCTAAAGGTAGCTTTGCTGTGGAAATGTCACTTAGTAGTAGGAAAAAGGTAAACAGACACAGATGTAGCTTAGCAACAAAAAATCCTATCCCCAGTTTCATAAACTGTTATTGCAACTCATGACATATACCATCTCAGTGCATTCATAGCTGTTCTTATGTAGGTCTGACTAAGCATTAGTAACCTGAATTCTTCTGTGGCTAAAACACTGCATGAAACCACATCGTGGGAATGATTCAACCCTAAAAGTACCAGATATAAATATATTTGTTATGTTTTATTGTGTATAGATTTGAACTTCTTGTGTTTCTGCTCTTTGGTTAAAGTGTTTTTGACTTGTTATCACAGGGCTATTTACTTCCTGCGTTTTGCACCTAAAGGCTGGAGAAATGCTGTACTTACCATTGCCCCCAGAGACCAAAGAAAATGATGCAGGGTAATTAGTGTTGTACACATGTGGTGAGTGAAGCTATAATTGCTCTGTTTGCCTCTCCTTATCTCTAAACCCCAAAGAAGGCACAAGCCAATACGAGTCAGTGTATTTTTAATATCTCTAGCTCTGTAAAATAAAGGCCTTTTATTACTTTTTCAAACCTTTCCTGGAGTCCCTAGACTTGGATGTTTTATGCTGGGGGGGTTTGGTCATATTTTTTTCCATTTTTCTTTTTGTTTTTCATAACATTATGTTTATCTTGTTTCCTGTTTGTGAAGAAGGGATGATAAAGGAGAGTGCCCTTTAGGGCAGGCCTTGCGATTGATAAATAGCTACCATACGAGTGTGCATAGTCTCTGGATTACTAAGTGTGAAGCACTGTTTGCTCATTAACTCCAGTCTCAAAACACCAAGATGGTGACAATGAAAAACCTCAGCTCACATGACTCTGCACTGACCTGTGAATGTCCGTCTGTTTCTCCGTGTTAGCCTTGTGATGGACTGGGGAACTATCCTTTCGCCCTGTGTCTGCAGGGATTTGCTCTAGCCCCACTGCAGCCCTGGTTGGATAAAAGGCCAAGAAAATGAATAGACGGACACCCCATGTAGGCTTACATGTTTTCTTCACAGTTGTTAGCCTCAGATAGAAACATCGCCGGTATGAAGCACTTTTATCTCAGCAGCCATCCGCCCATCTTGTGTGGGTGGATTACATCTGGTTCCCGTCTTTCTCTGTATGGCGGTCACGAGATGAGCATCTTATTCTCCGCTCTGTTCTACACAACAGGGAGCCGTATCGGAACAATACCCTCTGTGGTTTATTGTAAGCCAAACAGATTGATGGATAAACACTACCTAAGCCAAATCCATTGCTCGCAATTTCGCTTGGGTTGTGTTTACCCAACATTTTCTTCGATTCAAGCCCCAAGGGTGAGGGATCAGCTGTGTCTGCATCAGCAGCCCGATTTGATTCCTCGTGAAACAGATGCTGCCGTTCAGAGGCGTTTAAAATAGCAGGTTGTACGTCTTTGCCTCACAGCCTAAGACAAAGACAATAAGTACAAGAAGAGGTTTGTCATAATCAAGGTAGGTTTGGTGCCAAAACTATTATGTTTGGACATAAAACGAGTCCCTGGGCTGCTGTTAGAATGAAAATATCGTCATTATGATTAAGTGCATCTGCATGAGTGGAATGTACCTTCATTTCCTGAAAGGACAAGATTCAAGATCAGATTATTCCCATTAACGGTGCAGCAGCATCAACTCACAGGCGAATTTGATGACAATAGATGTGAAAGTTCTTGGATTTTTTTCTTAAGTAAATCAGCAATGTCACAATGACCTGCACTCAGATTTTCAGCAACAAGTACTTATTGTAAGTATAATTTGGGAAAGCAATCTCCCAGTTTGAGGAGTTTATTTGTCAGTTAAATGAGGATGCTGTCTTTCCTCAATTCTGCCTCCACTGCTGGGACTATTCTGAGAGAATTGGACTACTCTTTTTGTCACTTTCCCATGTGTCAGACTTACCTCATTCTCACTATTCTGGTCCAGTGACCTTCTCAGTGCTTCCTCAGAGGCAATCAGTGTCTGCTTCCTCTTTATTGTTATTCTGTCACTCTGTCTGTCAGACTACTTTTTTGCCAGTGCTCTTTCTCCACCACCACTAGTGGAGTCTAGACTTCATGGTCCTGTCTCTACCTTACACACAAATTACAAGTCAACAATCATGCACCATCATACCAATAATTTTAACATACAGTCATGTCCAAAAGTATTTAGACAGTTATTTTTTAGGGGGTAGTTTCCCCTGGATTTCGCTGTAAATCAGACCTTCACTGGTTACTGGTTTAGAAATCAAAGCCATCTCAATATATAGTGCCTCATGCTGAGAGGGCCAAGTGTAAATGTTGCTGTACAAACGCAAAATTAAAAAGAATACATCACTGTTGAAATACTTATGGACCTAAAAGTAAATTTGTGATAGCTTGCTAGCATTAAGCATATCAAAAGTGAATATGTGCATAGTGAAAAAGAAAAAGAAGATCACCAGAGTCTATAGTCTGGTAATAGATTATTATTAAGTGAGTTACTATAGATGATTACTAAGTGAGGTAGATGTATCAAAGTCTAGAAGCAAGAGATCATAAATGAAAATACAGCAACAAGGTGCAAACCAGTGGTTACACTCATTAGCACGAACACCAGATGAGATTTTGCCAGAAAAAAAGAAGAAGAGAAAACAGGCTGCACAGTTCTGGGGGAAAAAATCTTTGGATAGATGAAACCAAGAACTTGTACCAGAATGTTGGGAAGAGAAAAGTCTGGGGAAGGAGAGAACATATCACTGCAAGGTCTTTACCTGTATAAATAAAAGTGAATCGAATTGAACTAACTACAAAAATGTGTGACTGTGATCACATTATATTTTTCAGTAACGCATTAATATAGCATGTTATTGGACTAAATTCACTAATTGCATTAATGCAAATTACTTCATCCAACGAGTAATTAACTAACATTTTGCATTACTTTAATTAAAAGTAATGAGTATTACTTTTTTCGAGTAATGACCCCAACTCTGCAGACTACAGCAGATTTTAATCAAAGCATTAAAAAAGTAACCCTAATATTTAAAATTGTGTTAGTTTACAAGCGAGCCTCTGAAAATGAGAAACTGACTGTAAACATTCCTGTAATACCTGCTGAACCCTTTAAAGCTTAATCGCTGAAAGTCTGCACTTTAATCACTTATTGATTGATTTAAAATCCACTAGAGTGGTGTACACAGGCAAAATTAAGGAAGGAAATTATGGACTGAAGTGTATTTTTTCACCCACATTCAGATAGAGGAGTTATATAAAGACCAGTGATTTATATTTGCTGCTCAGTGTAGGTAGCACTGTAATATAGGAGGCTACGAGGGGGACTGCCAATTATTGTAAAATTAAAAGTACAACATTTCCCTTTGAAGCACTTCGAACGTTTCTCGATCACAAACAAAAGTAAATATGCCTTCTCCTTACCGCTAAGAGATATTAATTACATTAATGCGAGCTGACAAAATGAATGTGCAGATATGAACATTATGATACATACATAAATACTAGGGGTGCAACGATACTCGTATCGATATTGAACCGTTCGATACAGTGCTTTCGGTTCGGTACGCATATGTATTGAACAATACAAAATTTGTAATTTATTTTATCAACTTTCCTTCTGACGATGCTGTCTGTGTTGAGCGCTCAGTGAATCTGCGTTCGACTACTCCGCCTAG